GCCAGCGTGAAAGACGCTCGGGACAGTTGGCGGATTTGTCACTTGCCCGATCGGGCCACTGCCGTGTCGTCAAAAAAAGTTTATCATTTGCATCTGTTTGTAAGCCTTACTAATTTCAAAAATCAAGCAATTTAAAAGCATTCCAGCAAAGCGCCAAAGACAACTCCATTCATTACTCACGCGCTGTGTTCTGTGTGTACAGCGCACACACTGACAGCTAGCTGCATCTCTGACGCCCAAGCCCCAAGTAGAATTTGTTTCCGCGTCTTTCTTGTGCTTGAACGGACAAATACATACAAAAATGTGTCAAAATACCCATCTTGGTGAGTAATTTTGTAGCTTTAACAATGATTCATTGAGTAGAGATGCACCAATCGACCGGGCATTTTTTGTTTTATTTCAGACTATCGCAATATATAGCCCACACATATATATATATGTGGAAATAGGCTATTATGTTATTATTATATTTAGTCTGTAAACGTCCAGTAACAGAGGCCAGCGACGCTGAAGATGAATGCAAAGAGGAGAAAATACAGTAGAAGAGCAAGATCACACTGTGACACACACTTCACGATACGCAAAATATAGGAAGAAAATCCTAAATATTGAATTTTATATGGATGTGTTTCTGAGAGGAACTGACTGTTTTCGGCAAAGTTTACATGGCATTTTCTTTTCATCTTGGCTTGGTATAATGCATTTACAGTAGTGCTAATATGCACAGCCAAGTAAACGCTGCTGTTTCATGAGTGCCACCTGCTGTCAGAGAGTGAATCTGCTTCTCATTCAGTCCATCTGTTGTTTCGGTTTCATGCAGGTGTTTTATGTAGCATAATTTCACAAAGCTAAAGTCAGACCATTCTGTTTTCGCTTCAAAGTTTGAAATTATACCGTCTAATTTATATCAAACATTGCACATGCTACAAATGTGTATACATTTTTATTGTTTTTTTGGATCGATTCATGATTAAAATGTAGTGGTTACCATTCATTTCAAATGAATATGAAAAATCAAGGTACAACACAGTGAAGAATATGCAATGTTATTTTACATATGATTATTCAATTTCTGTAGCCTACCTGAACACCTACAGAAATAAAATCCTAAATCATTTCATTTGTATCTTTGTTCTATATATTCAGAGGTGTTATTACTTGAAAGTGTTATTCTTTTGGCTGAAATTGAAATCGAGAATTGTAAAATGTAATCTGTATTTAAAATATTGATGTCATATAAGCTTATTTATTAGAATACAAGATAACATAGATCAAAAACAATGATAAAGGCAACTGTTTTTTTATTTTTATTTATGTATTTATTTTTGTGGCAGGGCCTGTGAAAATGTTGGCAGGGCAAGTAATAATTTGGCCCGACTGGGCCAGTAGAAAAAAGGGTTGAGCCTAGGGTTGAGCCCTGTTAAACATGTCTATATGCTAAGGCTACATGTTAGATTTGGTGATCTTCAATAAAAGTGCAGTAAAAAATGGAAATAAATTATTATTATTATTATTGCAACCTTACAGATACAATGAAGAGGATTATTTTCATCTTCCCATGTGCTGAGTGACGTGTGTATTACGTCACCTTGTCGGAAGTGAATCTAGAAGTGAAATTAGAAGATAAAATGAAAACATGATCATGGAGCGGACAATCCAAAGAGAGAAACCGCGGTTTTCTATTTCATAAAGGGACAGGTATTTGGTCACTGTTGTCAGCACATTTCGATTAGTGATGGGAAGTTCGCATCATTTTACCGACTCGGACCTTTGAGTCTCGTTCAGTAAAATTAACAAATCTTTTTTCGAGTCATTTCGTTCATTTTAGCAAAATATAATTAAAATGTTACGTGTTACTTCCCTAATACGTCTACTACTTACGCAAACGTTGATCACACTACAAACAATATAAAACTGCTATAAGAAACAGAAAATATTAATTAATTGTCTACCTGGGTCTTCAGTCTATGATTAGCTCACCTCACCTCTTATCTGTCAAGTCTTCAGGTTTGGGCTTATGGGGCTGTCACGTGATGAATGAATGACTCAAACCCAAAGACTCGAGAGATGAACTAATCAATTCTCTTTCCGGCTCAGACTGCATTGGTTAAGCTTATGGGGCTGTCATGTGATGAACGAACGACTCGGAAAAACCCGAAGACTCGAACCAGGTGAACTACTTGACTAATTCCAGTACAGAACCTATAGGATGTTGCACATGCGCGACTTAACGAATCACTCCCCGAGACGACTCGTTCTTCCCGATTCACATTAAAGATTTGTTCAAAATGAACGAATCGTTCAAGAACAACCCAACACTAATCTCGACTAATGTCTGTGTTTGATGTGTGTTTAATGCAAGCGATGTGTGAAATGATGCATGGCCCTTCAACAAGCAATCTGTTGCGGTATTTGCATAACAGTAAACGAACATGATCGTGTCGGACAAATGCATGTGATTACATCTTTGTGATAATAACAGTCTAAACTGGACAAGATTCAGGCTGGTGCTCTGCTGAACCACTGCATATGAGCATCTGTTCGCTATGTAATACGGTATTACTTTAAAGGTGTTCTACATTTACAAAGGTCAGCCGGAAACATAAGCAGTAGTTTTGACAATAAACATCACATCTTTTAAAAATAACCTTTACCAAAGTACTCTGTAAATGGTAGTTACAGGGTCAACTGATGTAGAAAGTTAAGAAAAGAAAGATGCTCTGTTAATTAATCTTCTACCAAGGACTTACCATGGTACATGTTGTAAAAACATGGTATTATCATGGCATATGTCCAAAATGCATGAAGAGCAGTTTGTGTGTATATATATATATATATATATATATATATATATAATAATAAATAAATAAATAAAATGCTTAGTGACTGATTAAATGTTATGATCTACCAGCTTGGCCAATCATTAGCTGATAACTAAGCAGTTATATTGATTTGTTTTCAAAATATGTCAGTTACAAAATATGCTGAAAGCCCTTTTAATAATAAACAATAATTCTGTTTAGTCCACTGATCTATATGCAATGACATGAGTAAACAGGCCTAAGTATGTGAAAGAAGTTATTAATTTTAGCAGGTTGCCTATTGAAAAGCCTATACTGGTCGTAAAGACTCAGGCTTTGGAGTTTTCACTTGGCGACTGTTTTATGTTGTCTCCAAAAACCTCCCTGTAACATTCTGGGAATGTTATTTTATGGTTGTAACATTTTAATTTTTTTTTATAACCACATGTCATAAACTTAAGACAGAAAAAATAATACTATTGTTTTTTTATGTATGGATGCATTGCAAAATCAAGGCTGCAAGTAAAATAAAC